GCCAGCACACCCTCCGCGCAATCCTGTTGGCCTGGAAGGCCCTTCCTGTGACCGCCCCCGCCGGCCCAGCAGACTGGCTGAGGGAATGGCAAACCGCTGACGCACTGTATGGGTTTAGGTTAGGCCTTGTTGCTAAGGTTCTCCGCCAGAGATGTAAGGTCGACCGCGCGGCATACCTTGCACAACTTGCCGACACCGTGCAGCAAGGTTGTGGCTTGTCCTTCCGGGCGGTCAATAGCCTTCTCAGCCGTAAACGCCGCAAGCCATACGCACCGGCTGTTCTTCCGACAGTCCAGGAACTTGACGGCACCATCTGTGAGACGCCAGAAGCATCTGCGCGCCGATGGCGCGAACACTTCAGTGCCTTAGAAGACGGGATTGTCGTCTCACGGTCGGAACTCCCAGGAATTGCAGCTGCTGCGTCGGACGGCATCTGGCCTTCCCCGCCCTCCATCCACAGCATACCCACGCCGATGGAGTTGCAGCAGTCCTTGCTTGCTGCCAAACGCGGCAAAGCTGCTGGCCCCGATGCCCTGCCGGGTGAATTAGGTCTGCTTTTTGCTCCAGAACTCAAGGCAATCCTATACCCGCTCGTGCTCAAATTGGGGCTTCTTGGAGAAGAAGGGGTTGGCCACAAGAGTGGCACCCTCACGTGGCTGTGGAAAGGGCGCGGCGTGCAATCCGACTGCACGTCCCACCGAGGGATCCTTTTGCTCTCCACGCTCTGTAAAGCAATTCACAGGGCATACAGGCCAGCGATTCGGGATCACTTTATCTCTACTACCTCACCGCTTCATATGGGCGGCAAACCGGGCTGCAGCGTAGTGTTTGGCTCTCACATGATGCGCACCTTCATGCGCTGGCGGGCCCAGACAGGATCCTCCTCAGCAATCATCTTTGCCGACGTGTCCTCTGCCTACTATTGCGCGGTTCGGGAGCTCACTTCCCGCATGCCCGCAGCGGACGACGCACGAGCTCAAGGCCAGAACACAGACCCCCTGAGCCTTGAGTACCAGCTTGATGAGCCAAGTGCTCTCCAGCAGTCTGGTGCTCATCCGTGGCTCCGGGCACTGACATCCGCCATAAACAATGGGACTTGGATGCATCTGCAAGGTGATCCCACGCCAGTCGCTACACGCAGGGGCACTCGGCCGGGATCGGCTTGGGCCGACCTTAGCTTTGGGGTCTTAGTTCAAAGGGTCCTCGCCCTGCGTAACACATGTAGGGACATGGGCCGTGTCGCTCACTCGCTGCCCTCTGTTCCATGGGATGGGCATCGCCATTGGGGCCCCATCGAGCCCCCATCGGTACAGCTCCCCATTGGGGACTTAATCTGGGCTGATGACTTGTCATCATGCCTTGCACTCGCGTCAGCGGATGAGGCTGCCAAAGCTGTCTCTCACGAGACTGGAACGCTGACAGACGCTTTTGCGAGTCATGGGTTCGATCTTTCGTTCGGTCCTCGCAAGACGGCAGCCCTGATTTCCCTTCGTGGCGCTGGTGCCCAGCGTGTGCGCCGACAGCTCTTCTCCGGTAAAGCGGAGCTTCGGGTTTTGAGGGAGCATCAAGAGCCAGCGTGCTTGCCCCTCATCGACGGCTATAAGCACTTGGGAGTGGTGCAGGCCCGTGAAGGTTCGATCAAGGCTGAGGTCAAAAGCCGCTGTGCAGCTGCCTGGGGCGCTTTTAGGGAGGGCCGCACGCGCATCTTCCGATGCAAGAGGATCTCCGTCAGGAGACGGGGTGCGCTTCTCAATGCCCTCGTCCTTAGCCGGCTCCTTTTCGGCTCTGGTGCTTGGCCACCCCTGAGCACAGGAATTCGCCAGATCTTCTCAGGAACCGTGTTTTCCTTGTACCGAGCCGTCCTCGGACTGAAGCCTTCTGAGGATCAACATGTCTCTGTTGCAACCCTGTGTACCCTGCTTGGACTGCCCGATCAGGACACTCTTCTCCGAGTTGAAAGGCTTAGATATCTGCAACAGTTATGCCGCTCGGGCCCGGCCGAGCTTTGGGCTCTGATCCGTTGTGACGGTCCCTTCCTCGGGACTCTCCGCGATGCTCTGGATTGGCTTTATGTCCGAATCAAGGCCACATCTACGCTTCCAGACCCCAGCACCCACTGGACCACTTGGAGCGAACTCATTTGTGGTCGGCCTTCCCTGTTTAAGGGCCTCATCAAGCGCGCCAAGGGCCTTGAGATGTGCCGGGCGCAATGCTTCGCGGCGTTGCAGGCGTTGTATCGCACAGTGAAGCAAGCCTGCCTAGGAACAGACATTGCTGAGGTCAGCGAGGGGGCCTCATGTACGGAAGCCTGCCTCATCTGCAGGAAAGGTTTTGTTAGCCGTGCAGCCTGGGCATGCCATTCCTCGAAGAAACACGGCTACCGCATAAGTGCCTCCCTGCTCATTGGTGACAAAAGTAACACAGTCTGTGACGGTTGTGGGAAGCAGTTTGCCAATAAAGCAAGGCTTCGGCGCCACCTCTTGCATGCCGCAAACTGCAGAGCTAACTGGGGTATGTTCCTGCCCACTGACCCGAGTGGCCTGGAAGCTCCCAACCTGGCCGAACCACCCGCATGGGTCGAGGGACATCTCTGCCCGAGCCACGGCCAGCCTGACCCAGCGGAATACAACCGTGGCTTATTAGAGGCTTTGTGTGGCCTTCCCTCCCCTACCCCTGAGCAGGCTTGGGCATGTGTTGTGGACTTTGTAGAGCCCTTGGAGATTCTGCGAGCGACTCTCCGCCGCTGGCGAGAGTTACACGGCGATAAGCCAGGCGTTGTGGAAGCTTCGGAGGACGCTATCCTCATGCTGGATCCAGCTCTCTGTTGCGATACCTTCTGCAGGACCAAACCTGTTGCTCCTGTTGCCGACTGTTTCGCGGATCTTCCAGGGCCCTTCACCTCACCCATCCCTTTCGTCCTCTCCGGGAGTTGGGCCACCTTTGATCTCGACCGCCCCCCCTGTGGGGCTTTCTGCTACCCCTTTGTAGGAGGAGTGCCTTTAGCTGGTGCCAAAAGGCAAGCCGAGTATTTGGAGGCTATGTGTGATGTTCTCGGAGCAGCTGTACAGCAATCTGCTTCCACAAGAGTGCGCATCACTGCCACCAGGAACACCCTGGAGGCCCTCGAGCCAGCCTCTACTTGGCTCCTGTCAGTCGGGTTCGCTTGCGACGCGAATGGTCTGCGAAGCCCAGATGACTAGTTTCACTTTGAATTTAGACTTTGCATTAGGCGCGACCTACGGTCTCTCAGCCTGCGGAATGAAAATGATATATATATATATATATATATAGTTCCTTAAAGAGGTAGGTCTTTTCGGCTACAGGTAGGATTAAGGGCTTCGGGTTTGCGGCTTTGATAACTGTCAGGCTTCTGCATGACAGTGACTTGGGTTGAAGGGTTGAGTTTTCAGGGTTTGTGGGATTTGTGGGGTTTAGGGTTTAGGGTTTAGGGTTTAGGGTTTAGCCCATGAAACAAACCGTATGAAGTCCCGGAAGAAGCCCCAAAACGACCATGAAAGAATTAGAGAAGCCCAATAGCATCCTAAGCCCTACCTTAAGCCGGAATAACCTACCTTTTTAAGGACTTATATAAGGAAATCATAATAAGGAACCCTAAAAAGGTAGGTTATTTCGGCTTAAGGTAAGCCCCATTGAACGCCCCAAGCCCGAACCCTGAATCCTAAACGCTCCGACGAAGTGGATAGCTTCCCCCGCAGAAAAATCTGCGTAGTTTAAGGCCCTAAATACGTACAGTAGGGTTCCTTGACGGGGTCCTTCAAGGTTTAAAGGGGTTCTACAAGGGTGGGGCCTGCTTGTAGGGGCTTCAATCATTTCAATAATGTTGTTGGGGGGAGGAGGAAGCTATAGTAGAGTCATAACACTGAATCCCAGACAACAGTAAGACCTAATTTTAACGCTACGCCGCCCGCCTCGGCTCTGTAGCGGCAGGGCGAGGCGGCAGTGGATGTTGTATACAGCATGCTAAGCGGGAGTGTCGGGGAGGGGGGGAGCCGGACAAGGGGGTGGCAAATGAGCGCAAAAAACGGGTGTCCCCAAACATTTGGACTGCAGGGAGGAGGATTAGGTGGAGGGTACCTGAGGTAACCACCAAGACGCCTGGGCCTGTAACCGGTTAAAGGCCTTCCAGCCATGCCGCCCGGAGCAAGAAAAAACAACACAGAAAGAGCCTGAAAAGAAAGACAGGCAGTGGATTGACGACGCAAAAGCCAAAGCGGGGGCGAGGAAGACGAAACGAGGGCGGGGAGAAGAAGTGGGAGCAGGAAAGAGGGAAGAAAAAGGGGGGGGAGGGGGGGGGGGGGGGGGGGGGGAGGGGGGGGGGGGGGGGGGGGGGGGGGGGGAGGGGGGGGGGGGGGGGGGGGAGGGGGGGGGGGGGGGGGAGGGGGAGGGGGAGGGGAGGGGGGGGGGTGGAGGAAAAAAAGAGGGGGGAGGAGGCCTGGGAGGGGGCGGGTAGGCCCGCAAATCAAAGAAAATGAGGGGAGGCCGGGCAAGGGGGTGGCAAACGAGCGCAAAAACAGGGTGTCCCCAAACACCCGGACTGCAGGGAGGAGGATTAGGTGGAGGGTACCTGAGGTAACCACCAAAACGCCTGGGCCTGTGGCCTCGGCGGATTCTTCAGGCTTATGTACTATATGATGATATCTTTATCTTAGGGTTTAGGACTGTGGGTTTAGGCTGTGAACATTGTGTAGAGACTAGCTATACCCAGCCTACAATCGAAAGGGCCCCTGCAAAAGAGTAGGTGCTGTTGGTTGAGGGTGTCGGTTCCCCGAGGATCTTTATCCAGGTGCTTCGGGACCAGCCACCTGTGCCCTCAACCCTAAACCCCAAACCCCTAAACCCTAAACCCAGCCTCCTGTGCCCTAAACCCTGATCCCCAAAACCCTGCCTTTCTAGAAGTCGCAGGCTGCAGCCTCTGGGAAAAAAGGAGTTCAATAAAAGAAACCCTAAACCCCGAAATCCTCTTCATGAGCGCAGCCAAGGAACGCGGGAGTTGGTGTACCTGTCGCCGGCTCGAACGCGTAACGCGGTTCGATCTTCATTCGTTTCCGGATGATGTCGCTTTTGGAAGTCTGGGGTTGAAGTTTGTTGGCACTTCCGGTTGGGGGTTTAGGGTTTTGGGTTGGGTTACAGGATTTATGGCTTCAGGGAAAGACCCTGTCTTCAGCTTTCAAGGTCCGTGGTAGCGTTTAGAAGCCGTAAACTTTGCAACTGAGGCTGTCCTGCTATCAGCAATTGTACGCGTTGTACTTCAGCGACGAGGAGTGCCTTTGCTGCAGTCACGACAGTCAAGTGTAAGCCCCAAACCCTTAATCCAGGATCTTGGTCACATTATTTGCACCCTAAATGTAATCCCTACGGTTGATGATATAAATCCTGCATTACCTTAAGGACCCTAAGGTATGGGAATTATGGTACATTCCTTATTATGGGTAATGCAGGATTTATATCATCAACCGTATTGGAAGAGCGGGCCTATTCTGTATTGACCTTGAGCCCTGAACCCCTGAACCCTCAGTGTACAGGCCTGGCCTTCAACCCTCCGTCTAAAACCATGGGCCAAACCGCACACTACGGCTGATGATATAAATCCTGCATTACCCATAATAAGGAATATACCATCATTACCATAGTTTAGGGTCCTTAAGGTAATGCAGGATTTATATAATCAACCCTAAACCCTAAACCCTATAGATCCCTTAAAGGAACCCCTATAAAGGTACCCTTCTAGATCCCTTTAAAGCAACCCCAGGATTTGTATCATCAACAGTACAAACCCCAAAGCAACGACAGAGCACCTGAACCCTGCCTAAGCCCTACTCTGCGCCCGAAACCCCAAACCTTAAACCATCCTAAACCCTAAAGCACCCCCCCTCCCACTACCCTCTATTATACCCCAAATACCCACTATTGAGGACTATAAGGGCTCCATTACAGGGTACTTGGGGGGGTGCTGACCGTACTTCGAAACCATAAAAACCCCAAGCGCCTTAGCAGCCTTAGCACCTCAGTAGCCCCACAGCTCCTGTGAAGCTCTAAGAAGTTCAGAGCTTCAAGTTATCGACTCGGAAGGGTACTCCTCTTTGGTTTAGGGTTTAAGGTTTAGGGTTCTGGGTTTTGGTGTAGGGTTTAGGGTTTTGGGTTTTGGTTTAGGGTTTAGGGTTTGGGCTTTGGGGTTTTGGGTTTTGGGTTTTGGTTTAGGGTTTAGGGTTTAGGGTTTCGGGGGCTTTAGGCCTTTCGGTGGGTGCTTTGAGGGGGGGTTCTTTTAATGGATCGAAAAGTTTTATGGCTTTAGGGCTTTCGGGCTCCCAGACCCCTACCCCTCATTTATACCTGGAAGCTTTACCCTCCGAACCCTAGACTTACCTTTGGTTCGTAGAGAATGGAAGAAAGGTAGTAGTAGTCGTAGTAGTCGTAGTAGTAGTAGTAGTAGTAGTAGTAGTAGTAGTAGTAGTAGTAGTAGTAGTAGTAGTAGTAGTAGTAGTAGTAGTAGTAGTAGTAGTAGTAGTAGTAGTTATAGTTGTACCATTCCTCCCTTCCCCAAAGGTAAGTAGACCCGAAACTTCCGATTCCCTGAATTTCATCTGGCTGGGTCCAGGTATCTCAAGGCAGCCACCGTGGCGTACTCCCTCTACGCCGCACTGGATCGGGCCCTAAGGCGACTTAGAGGGAATGGAAAGGAGGAGCAGGTGTAGGGTTTAGGGTTTAGGGTTTAGGGTTTAGGGTAGGAGCAGGTGTTACTTGAACCCTAAACTGTGAGCCCAAGCCCTAAGCAAAAACCCCTGAACCCTGTTAGACCTATTCCAGTTTAAGGGTGGGGTTTTAGGTCCCTGATCTTTGGAGGGTTTGGTGTTTAAGGTTTGGTCCTCAGAGCCCAGGCGTCTGGGTTCTGCGGTTGATGGTATAAATCCTGCATTACCCATAAGGAATATGCCATAATTCCCATAGTTTAGGGTCCTTAGAGTAATGCAGGATTTATATCATCAACCGTGGGACTCTCGGACTAATGCCAGATCGAAAGGACCGCGCAACCCCACGGCCCAACGCCAAAACGCAAACCCTTCGGGGTTTGGAGTTTAGGGTTTGGGGTTTAGGGTTTAGGCCGCCAACGCCCCTCGGCCCCAAAACATAAATCCAGGTGGAGACTATGCCTCAAGCCCTGTGAACTCAAGAGCTGTCGGCCCTTCTGGCAGGCAGAGTGGCACCGGTTTTGCAGAGTTCCGGCCCAGAAACGCAGTGACCTGGCCAAAGCGATGCATTGACGGGGTTACGATCTGGATTTAGGGGACGGGAGGTTTAAAATGTGGGGAAACCCTACCCTTCGGCTCCTTTAAACGGATCTATACGGGCTCCAAAGGAAGCTATACGGGCTCCTATGATTAAGGGACCTATAAGCTATAAGGAGTCTTAAATCCTGAGCAACTCCCATGACAGACGAAAGAACTCGAGTCTGGCAAAGAAGAGAAGCCGGGCCTTTGGTGCAGGCATAGGGCATAGGAGGCCAAAAGGGGTTTTAGCCCCATAGCCCATAGGTTTAGTCTACCCCAAGACTCTTAAACCCCCCTTTTGGCCTCCCATCAAGAGGGCATAGAGTATAGCGGTGTTGGTGAAGTGGGTTCAAAATAGGGCTAGAGTGCCCTTAAACCTTGCACCCTGTGCCCACAAAGAGGGGGTAGGCAGATGTTTTGGGCTTCTGTCGGGCCACTGCAAGCAGATTTGGTGGTTCGACTTCCTTCCGGAGGTAGGAAGCTTCCCAAGAGGCTCATCAAAAGGGTGTTCGCCCTGCCCAAGGCCGAAATCCTCTCGGGGGCAAGGATCTAATTGCTCAGGCCCCTGGTGTATCCTCGTCTCACAAGAGTTCGACGCTCTAAGCTCCTGATCTAGGGTTTCGAGATTTTAAGTTTTAGGGAACTTCGGTGCCGCTTTAGAATTCGGGGATGAACTTTCGAGGCTGCAGGATTTCGGGAATTCAATATGATGATGGAGCACTTCTGAATCGCTCGACCAGGTCCTGAAGCTACCCGATGGAGCATCCAAGCCCAAGCCAGACACCACTTGGAGGTTCATGGGTTTTACAGGTAGGGTAGCTATACTTATAGGACTTATAACTCCATTTAGGACTACCCATGAAGCTCCAAGCACAAGCACTAACACCGCCCAATCCCACCACGCCTTTGTCCACAGCCTCTAGGTTCCCAAAACCTAAACCCCACATCCCCAACCCCGAAGCCTAAGCCCCAAACTCGGAACTCCACAACCTAAACCCTGAACCCTACACTGGGCCCTACACCCTAAACTCTGCACCTTCAACTCCACTCACCTTTGGTTAGTAGGGAATGGAAGAATGGTAGTAATAGTAGCTATAGTTGTACCCCATTCCTTCATTCCCTACTAACCAAAGGTAAGTCCATACATCAAGCGGGCACGAGCTCGAACTCAGTGCAAAGCTGGCGAGGTGAGCCCCTTCGCCCGCGCATCGGGCCAGGCGGGCCCCGACCCAAAATCCCAAGTTTGGAGTCGGGTTAGCTTGAGAGTTAACTCCAAGGGGTTGTTAAAAGTTTCTACTGGTATTTTGGTTCTAAGGGCGCGGACGGAAAAGGGGTTCAGAGAGATGCCAAATGTTTTGATCTTACGGGCTTTTGGAGTCTCCGGGATTGGGGTCCAGGACTCTGCACCCCAGGGTCATGAAGGAGTATGCCGAGAACGAGAATTGGAGAAGAGTGTTTTTCGTTCATGCCTTAGGGCTCTGATGATTAGGGTCCTAAACCCCAAACCCTAAGCCCTAAACCCTAAACCCTAAACCCTAAACCCCGAACCCTAAGCCATAACCTTAAGCCCTAAACTCCAGCCGCTAACCCACCCTTCGCCCCAAGCCTTTCTCGCCATCCCAGCTACCACAGGCGATGACCCCTTGGGGTTTGTACCAAGGTCTCGATTGTGGTGGTGCTTTGCGGTCGAGCAGTTTCAGTTTTGAGGCTCATGGGTTCAAGATTGCAGAATCTTAAGGTGTTAGGAGCCCTCATCCAACCCGTATAGCTCACCTGATAACGCTTATGGGGACTTTATCGAAACCTGGCAGAACCTTATGGAACCCTTGTAGAACCCTACACCCTCAACCCATGCAGAGACTTCAGGTGTCGCCAGTCCTTGAGCAGCAGCGATCGGCGCTTCTGATGCTGATCAGTGCTCTGGCAAGTGGGATTCCGGTTTAGGGTTTGGGGTTCAGGGTTTAGTGTTTACAGGGTTTAGGGCTTAGGGTTTAGGAGTGGGGTTTGTTGGGGGTTCAGTAGGGCGCAATATGCAGGGTCTATTCGGGTTTAACTATATTGGGGCTTATCATTGGGGTTTAAATAGTAGGAGCCCATATCCCAACACCACAGACCCTAAGATCCCGAAGCACTGAAACAATGAAACCCGCAAGACTTCAAATCCCTACAGCCGCAAAGCCCCGCCGCCCTAAAGCGCCGCAGGTGCTTTGACCCTGTGCCCTGCACAGCGGCTGCTGATGCCTTCGGCTGACCGCCCTGATGCCTTCATCGCAGCTCCCGAGGTGAGTCGGCTTTTTGGTCTTCAGGCTTTTTTTTTTGTTGGGGGGGGGGGCTTCGGGGTTGAGGGCCTTGGCTTTTCGGTTTTCCATGGGATCAAAGATTGTTGCTTGGGAATGATACTCCGTTTTATCTCGTATGAACCCCAGGGGTTACGAAAAATGTTGCTTGTATTTCTGGTCGACCGCACTTGCAGCTCTGAGGCATTGGGGTGTGGGGGCTTGAAGGGGCAGGGCTGTGCGGCTTCACATGGGTGGTTGTCAAAATTAGGGTACCTTCTTGGGTCCCTATTTTAATACGGCACCTAATAGTTACGGTTCCCACAAAGGGACCACAATTTTGACAACCACCCACATAGTCTATCTTCGGAGGTGTTCCGGCCTTCTAGCCGGTCTGGGGTGGGGTCAAGGCGCGGGTTGTCGGACCCCTAAACTGAATCCTGAACCCCTCCGTATACACCCTAAACCCACAACCCGAAACCCTAAACCCTAGACCCCTTAACCCTAAACCTTTAAAGCCATTTTGGCTCAAGCCATTTTGGCTCAAGGCCGAGGTGAGTGTGTGCTCCCTGTCTGCCCTTCGTCGGCCGACGGCGCTTCAGGCCACGTTTCGCGGGTTCATTGACAAGGAGTGGATCCCCGGCTTTAGCGCGCAGTTGGCGGTTCGTGCGGTCCCTGGTGTTTTCCGGCTACACGATTCTGAGGGCTGTGACGGCAGGGTATGGCGGGCAGAGGAGGGCGTAAAAGGCAGGAACCCATGCCCGGTGAGAACGTATCCATCCCTGCAAGTTCGGATGACGAAGATGGAGGGCGAAGTCCTGCCAAGGTAGCCCGAGCTGCAAATGGTGATCAGGCCGTGACTCTCTCGGATCTTCGGGCGATCCTCCTGGAGCAGACGAAGCAGCTTCAGGAGAGTAACCAGTCTTCGGTTGACAAGGCGTTCCTCAGGATGGAAAAGAGTCTTGACTCCAAGCTGGGGGAGTTCGAGGGCAGGGTCTCAGGCATTGATGACAGGGTCGGTGCACTTGAGAAGCAGATCGAGGAGCTCCTCCGCCGTGATCGTGCTGGAGAGCCTGTCGGGGGCGGCCGTGATGATGCTGACAGGCGTGCCAGGACCTTGGTGTATGGGGGATGGGCGCGTGAGACGCGTCGCAAAATCATCCTGGACGATCTCGCCGGCCTTCTCTCCTCGCTCCAGGTCTCGGATTTGCTTGATTCGGACCCCTTCACCACGGGTGCTCGTCGATCCATGGCGCTTAGCAGCTTCAAGCAACGGGCTCACGAGTCATTTGCGGATATGCGCTCGCGCATGCACAAGATTGTCATTGCCTTTGCCAAGGGCGGCCTGGAGATCAAAGGAGGAGGTCGAGCATGGTGCAGCTTTTCAAAAACAAAAGCGGAACGGGCCAAAGGAGCACACGCGGGGTGGATCAAACGTGTGGTCTCGGAGATGAAGGCGGACCAGGTTGCCAACCTGGACATCGAGTGGCAGAGTGGCTCGGTGTGGCTTGAGGACACCCTACTTGGCTCCTCGGACCTTCCGGTCCCCCCGGGCACGGATATGCGTGGCGTGCTGGTAAACGAGGATCAGGAGGCCAAACCATGGATTTCGGTCAAGCTCCTCTCAAAGGAACTCAAGCAGAAGGAGAAGGACGTCTGGAAGGCTCTTGAAGACTCTCGTCGCTGACTCCTTTTGGATTCACCTGTTGCTGTGGCTGAGGAGGCTGACAGTCAGCTCAGAATCTTCGGTTGGAACTTGGGCGGTGTGGAGGTCCAAGACCTTCCACAGCTACTGAGGGATGCGGCACCTTCGCAACTGGAAAAAGGTTCGCGCTAGACTCACTCTTCTCGAACAAAGCCTGGACAAGGCAGCGGGAGCATCATGGCGACAGGTGGCACAGGACAGGGTGGTTTGGCAAACCAGGGAGCAAACGTGGATCAACAACATGGATCTACCGTGGTCGTCCGGTCGCCAACTGAGCATACACAACACGCCGTAGGGTTCGGTAGTCCTGTACAGTAGATGTGCTCCATGTCTCGAGGGTTCGCTGATGAAGGTTTCTGCCTGATTGCATGAGCGCTCGAGTTTGTGGCATACTTCACGACTCCCTGAGCCGCTGTGGGCGCCATGGGCGTCCTTTTCTTTCGCTTTTGCCTCATGGTGCGTCTAATATGGATGCTGGCAGCCTCGGGCCTTGATGGCGGGGCTGCGGTGACTGAGGTGCTCTCTTCATATCGTTTTCCTCGAACTTTGCCTGCCATGAGTATGGCCCCTGACCTACCCCTTCCTCTACCTGATTCTCCGGATCGTGACCGTACTCGGCGGGAGCTGTACTTCCTGCGCCCCCTCCATGTCACGACTTCTGCACTATGTGACCGCTGGACTGAGGACCTCTCTGTGTCGGATGAGACGTCCTGGATGCAGGGTTCTGTTTCCTCGCGAGCTCAGCCGACGGGTTGGTTCACCAGGGCACGAGAGCGTTTCCTGGAGCTTCAGGCCGGTGGCAAACACAAATGTGCCGCCTTGCATCTCCGGGACCTACTCAGGGTTGCTCATCCTTCGATATGCCGTGCTGCACGTGAGTATGTCCCCTTGATCCTCGGGGACTCCGATGGCCAAAACGTGCGAGAGGTGACTGCTGACGAGGAGGGTGAATGCAAGGACTGGGCGAACATGGTCCTGGCCAGCCTCACAAACCTGGTACCTCAGAGCGAGCTTGCTACTGTCCCTGCTGAGACGACCCCTGGAAGCTCTTTGCCTTTCGGTATCTTTCATGCAGTCCATGTGTGGCCAAATGGTACGTGGTCCACTGCAGCGGACCTCGCCACTTCTTCTGGAAACTCGGGGGTTGAGCCTGCCGCGGAGGTCGAGCACGGGACGGGTATGATTCCGCGGCTGGATACGGATGAGGACGACTCCAGCCTCATCACCCTTGGGCACTTGGTGGTTGTCCTTGGTCCTCTGCGCCCACGGGGTTTTGATGAACTTTGGGACGGACGTGTGAACCCTGACTGGTTCCTGGACCAGGCTGACATCCTGGAAAAGCTTGCCAACCGGGGAGCTCATGGACCAACTATGGCACTCTGGCTGGAGGACCTCTTCCTGAACTCCGGGGATCAGCGACTGGTAAACGAGATGTCGCGCTACATCAACGGCTTGAGGTATCGCATGGACACCTATGTCCCCTACCAGAACGCACTCACACGTGCCAGCGGCGTTCCTGATGAAGCTGAATGGCAGACGGCAGTCCGGGGCATCTTTGACTTCATGAAGGAGAGGTGGCTCTGGAGGCTGTGCCCCACGGCGATGTGGAACCAGAGGCATGAAAGGTACTTGGCAGATCGTGGCTACTGCAATGTCGAGTTCTCCCCGGAGCATTACGTGGGGGAGGAGTCTGAAAGGAGGGCTTTATCCAGGTCCAGGTCGCCACACCGCCGCGACCGGCAACCGTGGAGGGTCAATGAGGACTGGAGCGGCTGGCAAGACGGCACAGACTCTGAGGAGGGCCTGCAATCGGATGTCAGCAGTTTCATGATGTCGAGAAAAGGGACCCGCAGGAATGCAAAATCTCGGTCCAGGGACCGTGGACGTGGAAGTGGCGAACCCCCGCCTCCTCCTGAAGATCGGGGTCACTCAAGGGGGGACACGCATGTACGCCGCCGGGCGCTTGCAAGGCGCCCGGTCCGCATTGAGCCTGGGCCTATGGACTCGCATGGTGGTGGTCGTCGCCGTGACCCTAGGCATCGGCCAAGACCCCTCCGTGAATGTCGTGAAGTTCCTCGTGTTCGCTTCCCGGGACTGTTCCCACCGGTTCCGAGCTCGGGGCCCACCGTCTCGCTTACTCCTACGCCCTCGTCATCCTCGGCTGCACCTACGCGTACCTTCGACGTGACGGAGGCGATGAACACCTGGAGGCAGCTCCTTGGCACATCGGAATCGCCTGGCAGTGAGCTTCTCGTCCAGCACGGGGGCCCCATCATCTCTGACCAGAGGTACAGGGCCATCTTGGAACACCTGAGGGGGAGGCCTGAACAGGAACGTATGATCATGTCCATCGCGGTGGTGAGCTACCGCAGGGCCTTGATGGTTGAGCTGGGCGAAGTATGCCATGAAGCCTCTCTTCAAATTACTACCCTTGACGAGTCCGACGATGTCCTTGTCGAGGTCGAAGAGGACGTATCCAACCTCATGCAGACCCTCAACTCCGACATCAAGCGGGACACTGCCGAGGACCACTGGGCTCGCCTCATGGTCCGCTTGCAGAAAGAACTGGCAGAGCAAACTGGGGCCTTGCGTCGCTCCCATGTCGGTGAGTTGCTGGGCAGGCTCCGCGCTACACTGGGTGCTGGATTGGAGACTGGCCTGGGTGCCCAGCTTGAGGCCTTGCTGCTGGTCATGCTTGACAGGGACGTTCAGCCGTGCTCGCCGGGGGTCGATCCGTGGATGGCTGATTGGACTCGGACCCTCTCGCAGTCTGTCCCGGACCTGGATGTGGAAGTTCACTCGGTGCCCGAAGACAGCTTGGGGGATGAGGACTTGATGCGCGCGGTTCAGGAAGCGGAGGCAACAACTGCGCCGCCGGGTGAGCCCGCTTCCAGCAGCTGGCAGTGCCCGGGGGCATTGACGGAGGTTCTCATGCTGCGGGCACAGGAGCACGCTGTGCTCCTTCACCAAGCCGAGAACTACAGAGATTGGGAAGCCTGGGAGATTCAGCAATCCTTGTGTGACCGTGAGCCTCTACGCTCTCGCCGCCAGTGTGTTGTCAAGGTCGAGGGGGTTGTCTCCAAGGGCTGTGGTGAAGGCGGACCTTCGATGACCAGATCCTGGCACATGGAAGTACCGGAACAGGGTTCTCTGCGCCTCAATGTGCACCTCTATCTGGAAGATGCTGTTGACCAGGAGGACATTGAGACCGAGATCACACAGGATACGAAGAGGCGCAGGCGAGAGTTGGCCGAGCAGGCGGCCCATGCAGGGACTGATGTCTCCTATGCCCAGTACGCGGACCTCTACCGTCAATGGGTTCAAGGCACACTGAATGCGCGCCAGATTGTCAATCGGTATGGCCCAGAACTCTTGGAACACTTTGAGGCTCAGTTTGCTACAACAGAAGACTATGTTCCCAAGGGTCCGGGGGTGGCACCGGACAATCCACTACAACCTCTACCGGCCCACGGCTGCGTCGAGTACTCCCGCTATGAGAAGGTGTATGGGCTCTGGATCGACGGTTGGATCAGTGAAGTGCAAATCCTTGAGACCTTCGGCCCGCGGTTCATGGAACTCTTGGCGCTCCAGCACCTCCATGGCACGACTCCTCAGACGATTGACATGGCCGGTTTCGATGAACGTGTGATTGTGGTGGGCTCGCCGGAGATGAGAAGTCTGGTCATGAATGCGCGTGAGGACACTCAGCTTGATGGGGATGGCCCTCCGGGTGCTGAACATGACGAAGGGGGACTATGTGTGCCTGCCGGGGATATGGTGTCAGAGGGTCCGGGGGCTATCGTGACTGCGGAGAACCTCGTCGAGAGTGGTGCTGAGGGAATGGAGATGTGCCCGGGTCTCGTGGAGGGTGCTGTGGGTCAGGCAACGATTCCTGATGAGTCTGGTGATGGCAGTGAAGGGGCAAGTTCGAGGATCAACGGTGACGTCTGAGGTTTTCGGGGACCGCTTTCCTGTTACAGGATTCTATCCCGGCGGATGGAAAAAGGCGTTCAAAAAAAAAAAAAAACCTTTAAACCCAAAGCCCCAAAACCGTAAACCTTAAACCCTGCACTAAGACATGTTTAGGGCTTTGTGACTCGCAGCTTTGCAGATTTAGGGGTCTGAGAGTTGTGACTTTACCTTGAACAACCAAAACCTAGCCTGTTCTGGGGCCCCTATGAGTACTATCGTAGGATTATAACCAGAGCAGTAGATGTGGCAGCTTAATGAAGGGATTATGGTTTAGGTTGTGGCACTTCGGGCTTGATTCAGGATTGGGCTTCGGGCCAGGGGGTTTAGGGCTAAGGGGTGTAGTGATTAGGGTTTAGTGTTGAGGGGCTTGGGGTTTTGGGTTTAGGGCTTTGATGTGGCGGGATCAGAGCTTTACGGCTTTGCGACAACGGGGTATGAAGGCTTTGGTGCTCAACACTTGGGATTTCAGGTTTCGGGCGTTTGTGTCGTGATGGCTCCATGGCTGCATGGCTCTGGGCCCTAGCCGCTTTGGTACTTCAGCTTAGGGTTTAGGGTTGAATACAGGCCCATCTCTGTGTTTCTTAACCCTAAAGCCCTAAACCCTGAACCCTAAAACCTAAACACTAAGCCCTAAAGCCCTAAAGCTGGTGTTAGGTTGGGGATTGAGAGCAGGAGAGTATTGTTCCCTGTACCCGGAAGCGTCAACGCTGAATTTCGGGACCGAGCTCCGTTTAGGAGTTTATGGTTCGGGGTTGAGGCTTTAGGGTTTAAGAAGCCGCCCCAACTACCCTCTATTATACACCCCAATACCCACAATTAGGGCTTTATTAGAGGGACCTTGATGGGTTTTGGTACGAAGCAAGACAGGTGGAGACGGACCTCCGCGCCGTGCGACGGTGGTTTCAGGTGCCAGCGGGCTTTGCCTTCAGTAAGGAGTTGAATTGAAGTGAATATAGGGGCCTAAATCATTACCAATACTTTTTTTTGTGTTTTTATTTATAGTATCACAGTATAATATGCACCAAAGCCCATTTCTAATTATTTAGGTTCCTATATTACCTTGCTTTACACTAGTTGTCAGGGTTTCTAAAGATCCACAGGGTGGTATCGGGGTTTCGGGGCTCCTAGGACTTGTAGACTCAGGGTTCAGGGTTTAGGGTTTAGGGTTTAGGGTTTAGGGTTCAGGGTTGCAGGGTTTGGGGCTGATAGGACTAGGATCGAGGGTTGACGAGTTACTGCGCCGAGGTCTCCGGATGTATTGAAGGGATCAGAGAACTAAGCACACTTGGCATCCCAAATTAGGGCAATATAGAATCCTGTAGTTTTTTAGGCGCATAAAAAACTACTTAGGGCAATATAGAATCCTGAATAGTTAGTTGGCTTTGGGGGTCCAGGTTTACAGTTAAGGGTTTGGAGTTTGGTCTACCCGTCTACCTAAGTCCTAAACCCCAACAGTTCAGATGTATGGTCGCCCAACTTCTCGGCAGGAGGCGACCGTCGCCACACGTGGGGACGCTGTGACTTTGGAGGAGCCTGGCGACCGGAACACCAGGGTCCAAGAGAGCACATCGTCTGGGACCAGGGTTTTAAGGCTTGTTTTCCATTTCGTTCTAGGCCTAAACTTCGTAAACCCTAAAGCTTAAGCCCTAGACTCCTAAACCCTAAACCTTTACAGGATTTTGTGGCATTGGCTTTGAAGATGTAAGAGTCAATCAAGGGCTGGGGACCTCGTCGAGGCAATTAGGTTCTGGTCTTGATTTGGGTTCGAAGTCAAGTTGGAAGGAGAATAAGACTGCTGAGCGCTGGGGCAGGGAGGCTGGGAATTCTGGGGCTGGGGTAGGCTTGTGGGCTGGCTGGTGCTGGGTTGAGGGTTGCGCTATTCGTGGGTGCCGCTCGGCTGGATTAATTCTGAAACTAGAAATTGAAAACGGTTTAGGGTTTAGGGTTTATAACCCGAAACAGCTTTCCGGATGCCCACCCACCCGCATTACTTCGCGGCCCGTCCCACCCCACCCTGCCCTTTCTGTTTGTACGAACCCCTGGGGTGGGATGGGCTGAGATGATCAACAACAACTAGCAGTTTCTATTTGTTTGTTTCTTGAGGGTTTAGGGCTTTGGTTTTTCGATTTGGGGTGTAGAATCTAGGGTTTAGGGTCAAGCTGGAGGGTTTAACATCAGCGCCTGAATCACTAGCCATACTATACCTCAGGGTTTCTTAATCTTCTTCCCGAAACTCCGTTCGAAGCCCTGCACCACAAAACTCTGTTCTTCTCCGCAAGATCAGGGCACCTGCACCCGGAACTCCTGAACTAGGAAGACTCAACATCAAGTTTCAAGCCGAACCTGAAATGTTTCAGAGTCTTTGGGCTGTTGGGTTCGAAAGTTGTAGGGCTTTTGGGCTTTAGGGTTTAGGTTTGGGTTTTCGGCCTCGAAGGTTGTAGGGTTAAGTTTAGGGTCATAGAGTCAAGGTGTATAGGGATTCAAGGGACGGGTTAAGGGAGAGGGTTTAAGGTTGATTCTTTCGCATTTCGGGCTTTGGAGAGTTTCGGGTTTCCGCCAGGAGGCCAAGCAGCTTCTGTCAGAGATTGAGCGGCGCTGTGCCTTGGCTGACAAGGGCATCTACACTCGCACAGATTTCGTGCACATGCTCGATGTGATTACCTGCCTGCTCGCCTGCCTGATTGCCTGCCTGCCTGCCGACTGACCGACTGACCGACCGATCGACCCACCCGAAATACCAACCTACCCGCCTGCCTCCCTACCTGCCTGCCTATTTGTCTGCCTTGCTGCGTGCCTACCTACCTACCTACCTGCCTGCTTGCCTACCTACCTACATACGTATGGGTACATGCATACAAACAATCACGCTTGCATGCCATAACACACAGAAACAGGACACAATACGACAAGACAAGTGATACGACACGACACAACACGACAACATACGACGACAAGACAAGACGGGACAGGACAAGACAAGACAGACAGATAGACAAGCAGACAACAAGCAGACAGAGAGAGAGAGAGAGGTGAGACAGACAGACAGACAGACAGACAGACAGACAGACAGACAGAGAGGCAGAGAGGCAGAGAGAGAGAGAGAGACAGAGAGACAGAGAGAGAAAGAGAGAGAGGCAGAGAAACAGAGACACAGAGAGACACAGAGACGGAGAGACAAAGAGACAGAGAGGCAGAGAGGCAGACAGAGACAGAGACGCAGACAGAGACAGAGATGGAGACGGAGACAGACAGACAGACAGACAGCATGCATCTGCATCGTCTATGCCTGTATATATGCAAATATACACAAGCTGACATAACAAGCAGAAGCCTAGACAGAAATGCAGGGCCAACAGGCAGACGGACGTTGCAGATAGGATGATAAAAAAACATGCACGCTCGCACAGAGAGGGCATATACATGCCTGCATGCACACGGCCAAATGATGCCGCGTGTACACAAACACTAGGACACTAGCTGCTTTTGTTCTTTCTGCCTTTCCAGCTTTCTCCCTCTCCCTCGCACTGTCTCCCTCTCTGTTGGTCTCTCTGTCCTCTCTCCCCTCCCTCCCTCCCTCCCTCCCTCCCTCCCTCCCTCCGTCCCGCTGTCTCCCTCTCTTTGCAAGGCTTCTGCAGAGTTTTACCGGCATTTTGGCACAAAGAACGACAGACATGTAGATAAACAGGTATGGCGACACACAGATCGACTCTGTAGAAATGTAATGAATTGTCAAATGAGGCTTTCAGTATCTCCACAATTTAGGATTGCGATTAGGGGCGGCTTAGGCTATTAGGCCTTGGGCCTGTGAGCTCGGATCATGTGTTGAGCGAAAGGTAACCATTGGTTATACGCGCCGCTTCGATTTCACAGCCGGTGCCTAGCCACCTTATTATTTCGAGAAAGCTTCCTACCATTTAGTCATGCCAGGAGTACTGACTACAACCTGCATCAGATACTACCCATCTCCAGTCTCCTAAGCCTTGATTCCCTGAATTGTTAACCCTACATACACCCTCAAAGCCGAAAGCACAAGCCCTTAAACCCTAAAACAATAAATCCCACAAGCCTCAGGCACCCTAAACCCTAAACCCGAAGCCCTACCAAACCCAAAACCCTTAAATATCCTAAACCCTACAATCCCTGAAGCCCTAAAGGTCTACGCTCTTCAAGCCGTCCGTTGCTGAAAACCCTGACAACCAAAAAAGACCCGTAAAACACAACAGGATTCTGACAAGCCCGAAAGCCCAAAATGACCGAAAAAGATTCAATCAACCCTAAATGACCGAAAGCCCCGGCAACCGTAGCGAACCCTAAACGCCCTCCTAAACCCTGAATTGAAATCTGAACCCTACACATCTTAGAAACCTTTGTCGCCCTAAATGACTTCAAAGTCCGAAGACATGAAATTTGCAAGATGACGTGAAAGCCCGAAAAGCCCAAATGTCCTAACGCTGAACCCTTAGCACCCGAAACATCTTAGAAATCCTAAAACCCCTAAAACACGATAGAAAGCCTAAAACCCTAATCCCTTGAAACCCGTAAAAAAGACACCTAAGCACCTTAGACACCCTGAAAACCCTAATCACCTTAAGAACTAAACCCTAAACCCTAAAAGCCCGAAGTGTTCTAAAGCCAAAGCCAGGTAGCAGCGAGGATGAAGAGATGGAAGTCTCGGCAAGCTGAGAGCGTCTCGCGTGACCTGCACCTGCAGGGCTTAGGCCTTAGGGGCTCCATGTTTCTTTATAGTGTTGTATGTATGCATATATATATATATACATATGTCATATATGTATATACATATATATATATATATATGTATATATAGATATACGTGTATATATATATATATATATATATATGTGTGTGTACAGATATGGGTATAGATATAGATGGTTCAGGGAACTGTAAGAATTTGGGCTGGGTCGGGATTGTATGGTTTTTGAAAGGGTGCAGGGCGAAGGTTTTAGGGCTCTTGGACTGTACGGTTTCTCTAAGGCTTTTGCAAGGCTATATAAGGGCTTAATAGGCAGTTTATCGGGATGATTTAGGGTTGAGAGTTCAGGGTTTACGGTCAATTATGTTCGGGGTTTAGCGTTTAGCAGAGGATCTACCGACAAGCTTGCTCAGAGGGAAAAGATCGCCGACACAGGCATGTTTGCGCCGTGCGCTCTGGTTATGGTGCTTGAGATGTTGAGGTTGAGATCGCAGTAAATTTTTGCTGGGGATGAGGGTCGGGTCGAGGGTGTTGGGCTTGGGGCGGTGGGGTTCTTGTGCTTTAGGGTTTAGGGTTCAGGGTTTTGGCTTTAGGCAAACGAGCTTTCGGCGGGGACCTGCATGATTGCTGAGGCCATTGCACTGTGAGCTGTTCCCCTCGCTACTACGGGCCGGAATTCTTCTTGATACGGTGGATGGACAAAATCCTGCATAACCCTGGGTATGGCACAGTACCACAATTCCCATAATTTAGGTACATAGGGTCATCAGCAGTACCACTCGGTACACAGACTTCCCCAAGATATTCTCAATCTACAGTCCCTATGACCCCCAAAGCGTAAAAGTTAGAAAAGCCCTAAACTAAACGATAACAAAGAAGAGTCTTAAAAGTTCTAAGAATCCCCAAGCCCAAAACCTTACGCCTCAGAGCTTCGCAGCTGTGGCTCACAGCCTTTCGGGGCTTCTACCCCCGCCCTGGCACCCTTCCGCGCCGCCTGTTCTGTCTAGAGTTTAGGGTTTGTGCTTTCCAGATTACGGTTTGGAGTTCGCTGTTCCGGCTTTAGAGTTCGGAGTTTAAGGGTTTAGGGTTTAGGGTTTAGGGTTTAGGGTTTGGAGTTTAGGGTTTAGGGTTTAGGGTTCAGGCTTTTCGGCTTCAGTGTTTAAGGGATTTCATTAGGGTTGAAATTCGTTGAAAAGCTGATATGATCGTGGTTAGTATTGGGCCTTGAACATTTATGTAGGGTAGCAACCCTAAACCCTAAACCCTAAACCCTAAACCCAAAACCCACCAGGGGGATTTTGCAAGGTATGACAAGACAAAACTGTTTATTCGTTCAGGCCCGGGTGTTGTGGGAAGGTCGGGTCTCGGGGTTCAGGAGCGGGGCCTAGCCGTTAGGGGTTTAGGGTTTAGGGTTTAGGGTTTAGGGTCTAGAGGTGAGGGTCCGGGGATGCGCCTGGCTCTCGGGATGAGTTTTCTGGGATTCGTGCTAGGGGCTTGGGTCTGGGGTTCGGGCTTGCGGATTCGGTTCACGGAGTTAGAGTTTCTGCCTGGGGTCGAAAGACAAGGATCAGGGTTTCGGGAGAAAGATCTTGCAAATTTACGAGAGTCTGAAGAGACCTTACACATCACCCTTCACAGTGCAAGCACCCACGGTCTAGGAGAGCCGATGCAGGTATGACTTTAAGTAATGTAGCCTACGTAGATTCGACAGGAAACACTTCGGAATTCACGGTAAATTCCGGCTTGCTTGATTTAAGGGGCCATGAAGCCCTTTTGGCTTGCTACGGGTGCTGTAACTCTAAGGCTAAACTAAATCTAAAGCCTGAGCCCTGAACTTCCAGGCGGGGTGCTTACAACACTGCAAGGGCATTCTTTGCACTGTGTCGCGGTTGTGGGTTAGTGTTTAGGGTCTAAGGGTGTAGGGTTTAGGGCCGAGTTTAGGCACTACAGGCATTCATCGTTTTGCATTCGATTTTGCAGTTGGCCATGTGCCGTTTGCCAGACGCTTGGTGGCTCTGACGAAATTCTCGCTGTTTATCAGCGGTCGGTTACGACCAGGCGAAGCGCGAGGACGTTGTCGTGGTGGACCGACTGCTGGCACTAAAAACACCAGTCTTGGTATGGTGGAAATGCACTCGGCAAGTCGACGCTGTACTAGCAGATGCTTGCTCTTGGAGATTCCAGCAACCTCTCCTCAGCTCGTCACGTCTCCCGCCAATAAGATTGTAATTGTGGCAGCATGTGTGCCTGAGGACACAGCCCAGCGACTCCAGTATCTTTTAATTCAGGAATATACCTTAAACTATAGTAGGATCCCTGCATAGTATTTAAGGAATATTCCTTAATTAAGGTATCTTAGCATCCCCTAAACCCTATAGATCCGCTAGAAGGAACCCTTAAAGGAGCCTAGGTCCCTAAATCATTAAAGCACGTTGGAGTCTCGGGGAGACCAGCCCCGGGTCCTGATAGCTCCATGCCGTAAAGAGACGAGCTGTGCATGCAGCCTCCTTCGCAAGATGCTCGGGGAGGCGGTTGCCGCTGTTGACTACGGTTTAGTGTTTAGGGGTTTAGGGTTCAGGGAGTCATATAGGGGCCTAAACAAATACATATACTAGTATTATGGGCCCCCAAACCCTATTATTCTAAGTATGGAGGCCGCTATGTTATGCAAGAGCAGTCAGAGGAACACATGCTTGAGGAGCCTCACGGAAGCCAGGCGGTATGAGGCCGAACTACCACTTGGTTCAGGGCTTGGCGGTTTAGGCAGCTACGTTAGGCAGTGCGTACCTTGCAGTGCAACCGACGTACACGCCGGCTGTCGAACACTTCTCTGCAGTGACCTCATCACATTACTGTCTGTGCAGGTGCCACGAAAAAGTAATCTGCTCTTGCGGGTTGCTTAGTTTTGTTTACAGTATCCTTATAAAAAGTGGTTCTAATTGTTCGGGTCCCGAATTCATGGAAGGGCGATCCGTCCAGGATTTTGGATTTGAGGGGTCCGGGCGCAGGCCTGGCACCATCTCCCAGTGAGTCAACCTGGAGAGCCCAATACCCCTTAATTAAGGAATATTGCCTAAATCATAATGTGAAGCCCTATATAATTTAAGCCATATTCCTTAATTAAGGGGTATTGGGCTCTCCGGGAATGAGGTAGCGAACCTTGAATTTGTCCATGGCCTCTCTTGACGACGTCAGATCTGTGCTGACAAGGACCGAGCTACGATTTGGCTTTAAGTCGAAGCCTATAACCTGCTGGTTTTTAGGGCTGCAGCAGTGACTTATTTGTCTGGTTACCTGCAAACCAAGAGTAGCACTTAAAGGGGACTAGGCTGTCTCAAGCAACCAATAAGATTTACAGGCTATCTTCTTGAAGGGTCCTCATAATACGGTTGATGATATAAATCCTGCATTACCCGTAATAAGGAATGTACCAGAATTACCGTAGTTTAGGGTCCTTAAGGTAATGCAGGATTTATATAATCAGCCCTAAACCCTAAACCCTATAGATCCCTTAAAGGAACCCCTATAAAGGTACCCTTCTAGATCCCTTTAAAGCAACCCCAGGGATTTAAATCATCAAGTGTATGAAGGATCCTGCCAAGGCGATTTATGGGCTACAGAAGCCTTCCTTACACATAGCCGGTTTAGGGTTTAGGGTTTAGGGTTGTTCAGCCCATGTCCCCAAGCCTAAAGTCTGCGCGTGCGCCTCTGCAGCTTCGTTCGCTGAGAGTTTTCGGCTTTACGAGGGAGCTTGGGATTTCGGGCCCTGAGCCCTCAACAGTTTTTAAACTGCCAGCCTGGAGACTGTCCCCTAAACCTTAACATAGAGGCCATAATAATTGCCTAACCTATTTTGGGGGTTCCGTATTATAATATACAATAGTATAATGGGCCCCCAAAACCCTATTCTAATTATGAAGGCCCCTATATTAAACCCTAAACCCTCAAACTCTTGAGCCCTAACCCCAAACCCCAAACAGTTACGGACTCTCCTGCCGAATGTTGTGAGGATCTCTTTGTGGGTCGGGTGCCCAGGGAGGGAGTGCCTCAGTGCTTCCGAAGTCGCTTAGGTGTATGATTTAGGATGTGGGGCCTGGTAAACGGGCCTGATTAAATAGATACCAATACTCTTTCCTGGTTTCTTATTATATAAGTTATATTTATAGTATAATGGGCCCCCAAACCCTTTTCTAATTATTAAGGCCCCTATAGTATGTTCCGAGGCTTTTGGTTTCAGGTCCAGGAACTTGACTCGGCTTTGGATTGAAGGCATCGGGGCCCTCATGCTCGAACCGTCCCCCCCAAATCGTTGAAGACAGTTGACTCCGTGCCATTATGCGGACTCTCGCAGCGAGAGAGGTCTGAAATTCTAGATTCCCAGCTGTGCTCAGATCTACATTGTCTTCATCTTGCACTTCGCCCTGTGCATGTACTATGTTTCCAAAGCTCCAGGCCATGACTGGGAAGGGAGGGACGAAGTGGTGGTACAGTAGTCGTGGTAGTGCTATTGGTAGCAGTAGTCGTAGTCGTAGTCGTAGTCGTAGTGTAGTCGTAGTCGTAGTAGTAGTAGTAGTAGTAGTAGTAGTAGTAGTAGTAGTAGTAGTAGCAGTAGTAGTTGCAGCAGCAGGAGTAGTAGTAGTAGTAGTAGTAGTAGTAGTAGTAGTAGTAGTAGTAGTAGTAGTAGTAGTAGTAGTAGTAGTAGTAGTAGTAGTGGTAGTAGTAGTAGTAGTCGTAGTAGTAGTAGTAGTAGTAGTAGTAGTAGTAGTAGTAGTAGTAGTAGTAGTAGTAGTAGTAGGGCATCCCCCCCGGTGCGACGCCCAAACCTCTTAATTATTTTTGGGACTTGCTGTGGTCGGAAATGCTGTGTTTTACAGCACTTTTTTTCCGCAGTTATCGAAAGTGGCAACTGTTCCTGGTTTCGTGTGTATTTTTATCATATTTTCTAACATTGTTCATCAATCTCGCACCC